CACTTATACTCACAAATTAAGACACTTTCTAACTAAATTAGACACTAAGGTAAAGGGGGATTGTGGTTTTGACGAAAATAAATTAAATGCACAGATTGTAATTTAAAGGCAGAATTTAAATATGAATGTGATGAAATATGGAATGAATGCTAGCTAGAGGGTTCTTCTCCACACATGTTACACTTGCATACATTTTGATTTTCAGTTGGTCTTTCGATGAATTATGGAACTCGACACTCCAAGTTAATTAGGTCCGCTTAAATTAACCTTCAAATTTCCCTAGAATCATTGAATTGGATGAATATGCATCGCAAACAAATTATTCCTAACAAGTTCTCTATATGAACAGCATGATAAAGATACAAGTTAGAATCATTACGTTCTTTGGAAATTATAAGAATCGACAAGGCATTTGTAACTATGAAAAGCATGATACTCTTGCCAGGAATTCAATTAACGCGATTGTTTATAAGCAACCTCCACTACTTGTGAATATAAGTTCATAACTATTAGGTGAAATTCACTTATATTCTAGCATCATATTCATGCATGAAAATTAAGCGTGCACTCTCAATCAACATACATAAATAAGTTATCGATCAAGCAGTTAAACAAATTGAATCCACAACTTATGAAATTCCAACCAAATATAATCAATTCATATTGCAAGTATAAACATGGTTTCGAATCACCCCCTAGCTAACTAGGGGGATTTAGCCTCTCATGTTCGCAACAAGAAAAATAAAATTGAATTTAAACATAAAGAACAAAGGATGGATTACACCTAGAACGCCCAACGAATCTACTTGAATTTCTGCGCGTCTAAGTCCTCTTTCCTCTTCTCCTTGCTGCGGCAGTGAGGTTAAATGGATGATTTGGATGTTATTTTGGGTTGGGGATGGATTTAGGGAGGATTGGTGGTATGGTAACTGGAATAATGGAGAGAATATGGTGTGTGGAGATGTGTGGTGGTGTGGAATGGAAGAAAAAATGGAATGGGAAGCTACGGCAGAGAAGATTTTGGGAAATGGTTGATGCGGCTAGATGGAAATTATGGGATGAATCATGGCTTCAATCATGGGAATTGGCTGCGGGATGGATGAATGCTCGGATTATGGAGTTAGAATAATGGGATATGGATGCTCGGATTATGGAGTTAGAATAATGGGATATGGTGGCTTAATCATTTATTAGTTTATTAGCCCTAATGGCAATGCACGGTTTGTGAATAAATAATGGGAAGTGAATGGATTAATGAATAATAATATATGGTGAATGGCTGAATAAGAAATGGAATGGTGGCTTAATGGGAATGCACGGATTAGAGGATGTAAATGGGATAGTGGATGGAAAAAGGTGTGGTGGATGTGATAATGGGTGAATCAAATGCACGGTTTTAGGATTAGAATATGGGAAAGAATAATGGGAGAATTTTGGAATGGTGGAGGTAATGCACGAAAGGGATGAATGATGGGATGGTGGCTAATTAATAAACATGGAATAAATGGGAAATGGGGGGGGGGTGCCACGGCTTGAATAAAAAAATGGTTAATTAGGTTGTGAATGGATTAGAATTATGGGATATTAGGGTGATGGAATAGATGTACCAATTATGGACGGAAAAATGAGAAAAAGTGGCTGCAGCAATAGGTTAAACAAATGTGAATAATCAAGAGTTTTCTTATGGTGAATGAGTGGAGTCCCCTCTGAATGATTATTGAATCTAGGTGATAATGGCTACGGCACAAAAGAAAGAAAATGGGAGAGAATGGAGGAATTAGGGTGATTAATTAAATGGGAGCCATGGCTTAATGGTTGAATAATGGGAATGTATGATGCTATGGTGGCTGATTAGAATATGGAGGAATTAGGTTTAATGGAACAATCACACCTAGGGCCACGGCTTAGGGTTTAGTTTTGGACGTCCATTCCTCGTGCTCCATTTGCATACACCACATTCCAGCTCAGTTTTGCTCCAAAAGCTCCAAATTGCATCATTTCATGTAATATGTCCTTTAAACCTGAAAATACACAAAAGTGGCCTTAAACACTAAAATAGATAAGTAAACACAACATAAATGCACGAGAACAAGCTAATTAAGTCGCATGAACAAGCTCCTATCACCATTCACTCATATTTTACCTAATTTCGTCCAAGTTGTTTAGAGTCTTTACAATCTGCTTGTTTTTACCTTAATTTCATCCAAAACCCAATCCCCCTTTACTCTGTTGTGTCTTTTAGTTAGAATCTGTCCAAATTTATGTTTTTAAGTGTTTTGAGTCACGTTAAAAGTAATCATCCTTTAGAGTCTAGTTTGAGTCTATTTGATTGTTTTGTACTGTTTTGAGTTTTTTTAGTTTGTTTTGAGTCATATAAGTCTAGTTAAGTGTTTTTAAGTTTAGTTTTGTGTTTTTAAGTCATTTTAAAGTAGATTAATCTCTTCTAATCCCCGACCTAGAACGATCCCTACTTACACATACTACAATCATAGAGTTTTAATTTGAATGTTAGAATATTTCACATCAATAATGTATAATAGTGCTGGACCATTGGCAGCTATCAGAGATTAAGTAACACCACACCTGATGCTGTCTGATAAAACTTTGTTTTTAAATGGAGGCAATTCATTCAACAATTTTTTAGCTAGTTTTAATTCGAAAACAGCTATATTGAGCTTTTCCTGGGAGTATGACATGGGTTACTTCCGTGCCGTGGCGCTTAGTACTCAAACATTGGCTTAAGCCATTTTCTCTACCCCTTCTTACCCTGAAAAATCAGGGGAACCCCGCGTCCTTGAACCGATAACCAAATTGCAGTTGCAGAAAATATTCTCATGTTCTAATACCATCAACATACAACTTTTCCAGTTGCCAGCTTAACATTCATTAACATGTATCTCAATTCAAAACATCACATTAATTAAACAATCAACCAACAATCATGGACAAATCAAACGAATTACCCATCTTTCAATCAGATTTCTAACCTCAAAAAGTAGGTGTCTTTTGCATAAAGCAATCAAATCACAAACACCCAGATGATAATTTCACCCAGATGATTATGTTTTCATTCCATTTGGTTTGCGAATTTAAATATGGTCGATGATTTGGAGTAATAGTTTGGTAGCAGAACATGCCACAAGGTATTACAATATAGCATTTTCTTAGTATTGGAGTGGAATGTTGAAGATTTGTGTGGCTTTTGATTGTAGACGGTTGAGCGACAGAAGCAGAAGTTGGAAGAAAGTGAGCAATTGTTGCATCAGAGGAAGTGTGTACACTCTAGTGCTCTATTGGTTGTATTTAATACTAAGTAAATATGTTGGTTTCTTGATTCAATTTTATGACACGTTGCTTTTGTTCTCGTTGTTGAATTGAATTCCAGGGACCTGATTACAAAGTACAGAAGGTCTGTTGAAGACCTCCTCAGCTCTGAACCTTAGCTGTTTGTGAATCGTAAGACATTCCCTTTATTTAGATTAGAGCTCGTAAAAAGAAAATGTCTTTGCCTTCGGCTCCTTGCTGTTTCAGAATTATCTATTAAGAAACTATGTGTGCACTTTTTTGTTTTTGACATCAAACCTTGTCTCCGAAAATCAGAACAAAAAATTGCGTGTATATTACTTACAATGTCCCAAGAATTATGGAACGGCTTCTCACCGTCATTTTGAATTTTGAATTCAGATCTTCTTGCAATTGAGATATGCACAACTGCTGAAATTCAAGAGGAAGGGTCGACAAGCTTTGGATAGTTGGTGTACTGCATGTTAATTAGTTGTTGAGAAGAAACTTTCCGAGTTATTGTAGTTGTACATTGAATTCGATTTCTGTATCTGTTTGTAGCTACTGAACCGTAGTCATTTATTCTCTTTGTATCATCTAGCAATTTCATGAAATGAGTTGGAGATTTACTTTACACTTGTGTTCCTTCGTAAGATATCGAATCTCCTGCCGCTGTTTTTGTGTACCTTTTGGTTCATTAATACTCGAATCACGAAGACTAGTCCCGAATTGCCCTAATCTCTTATCGGTATCACATCATGTACTGGCTCTGGCTCTAAAATTGCATTATGCAACCTCACACTTTTCCGAGCCTGGCGAACTAGAGCTGATTATAATGTCCCTCGAGTTGGCTACTTTGATCATCGGACCAAATACTTGGACTCGAGCCCAATACACACCTCTCTAAGGTCAACTCCAACCAAAAATGCTAAATATGATCTCGTCTATAATTATAGCTCTATAAGAAATTATTTTTAAATGAACACTATGAAGCTATAGTCATATGTCATTTCCAACCGAAGGAACTAAATATAGCCTCTCAATAATTTATTAGTTTTAAGTTTATACTATAAATTTATTAGTTAATTTAATAAAATTATCGTTGGATATTTTTAAATGTAACTGTTGAATTTGAATCAATTATGCAATTGAGGAGCTGGGTCCCAAAAAAAGGACTAAGTGGGGGGCTACATTTGGCTATACATCACCTCTTTGGCCAAATAATGGCTTGGTGGGCTCCATAAAATGGTAGCCTAGCCATCGGTTGAAGATGAGTTTTTGGGCAAATCAAGCCAGTTTTTGGCTTTTGGACCTGTAACCCTCTCCGTTGGAGATGGCTTAAGCTTTGAACCTAACATGCACCACGCATGGAGAAGTTCTTGTGTCCAGCAACGTGTATACAATACACTCACAATGGGGTAACCGCGGATGTAACATTTAAAAGTATTTTAGATACCTCAACGCCTTTTAACTTGTTAATTATATTTTTTAAGGAAATTAAGATTATTTCGTATTGTGTAATGCTAATTTGGTTTTAGCCAAAAACAGACAAAGCATCCTCTTTCTATTTTTGGCTAATAATCAAATTAAGACACCACCTAATCTTACACCACCCTAAACTAATCACATTTCATTAACCAAAAATTCCCCAACAGAAACCGTTAAGATATCTGCCTCTCTGTCCCTCTTATCTCTCCCCATCCCTCATTCCCCCTTTCCTCCTCACTTCCATTGAGAAAATAAGGGAAGCCCCCTCCCCACCCCCAGAAAAAAAAGCCTCATCAAGAAAAAAAACAGCCTCCACCACCCCCGCCGGAAACGCATCCCATTCCAACAGCACCAACAACGCATCAACCCCCCGAAAAAGAAAAGAAATTTATCATGAGTAGTAGTGGCCATAGCCATAACCACACTCATCACATTTCGACGACAACCACAACACCGTCAACAAAAGGCAACGGCAACACGCAGGCTTGCGCTGCGTGCAAATACCAGCGCAGAAAGTGCGCCCCCGACTGCATTCTAGCCCCTTACTTCCCCCACGACCGCCAGCGCCAGTTCCTTAACGCTCACAAGCTCTTTGGCGTCAGCAACATCACGAAAATCATCAAACACCTTGACCAGCCCGACAAGGATGAGGCCATGCGCACCATCATCTTCCAGTCTGACGTTCGCGCCAATGATCCTGTTGGTGGTTGTTACAGAATCATTCGCGAGATGCAGCGCTTGATCGAGTACAACAAGGCTGAGCTCGACATTGTTCTTCACCAGCTAGCCATATGCACAGCTCAGGCACAACAAGTTCATCAACAACAACATCAAAACCCGATTCAAATGCCGGAAATCGGAGATCAAAACACGTGCGATCTGTTGATTAACGGGGATCCTTTGAGCTTGTGCGGCAACCCAATGGGGCATTTCCATTACATTCAACAACCTCAGCCTCCTCACCATGCAGTTACACTGCAGCAAGAACAACCGCACGAACAACAACTGTCTTATGTGTTTGTTCAAAACAACGCTAACAGCAACAATAACAGTGACAATAATAATGGGGGCCCACATGTACATCCACATCATCAACATTTGCACGAAGATGTGAGCATGTGGGCAATGCAGGATTCAATGTCTTCCTTGGATATCAAGCAATGTGGTGGTGGGATGAATGGGATTGCCAATGGATGTGAGGATTTGAAACCGTTCCTTGATCAGATGGGTTGTGGTGATGATCATGAGAGAAATAATGGGGAGGTTGTCGATATTAACGGTGATCATCAACACAGGTTTGTAGTGACAAAGACAGAATTACTTATGTCTTCCTAATGTTTTTTTTTTCTTCATCTTTTTATTTTTTATTTTTAAATCGAGGGTGATAGTTGGGTTAGATTTGAGGGTAAATTTTTTTACCACTTGAGCTAGAAGCCCCTGCGTGATTTTCAATCGAATGTAGCTATTCTTCTTTGCGATTTAAGAAATGAGTCAATAAAATGACCCCTTTTCCCTTTTTTTTTAATTAAAAAAAAACAAAAAACAAAAAATTCAAGATCCAAAGATAATTAAACTAGTGGGACAGATATATTTATTTAGCATTACTCTTGCGTTTGAACGAAAAGTTTGGACAACTAAGCACTCGAGATCCTTCAATCAATGCTTGAACGCCCTCTGCCCTTGAGAACCGTTCGAAGCCCTTCGAGTGGTTAAAATTCTAAGAGTTGAGAAAAGAATGGGAAAGTCTCATACAAAATTCATCCTCCTCCTTGTCACTTGCTAATCTTAATTAATTAATTAAGTTGTAACTTGAAATTGCAGTGAGGAAGCATTGTTAAGGGTAGATAGAGCGAGTTGAACAGAAGAAGGTGAGTTAGCAAGCTAACAATGTGCACATGGTCTAAATAGATGATCTTTCTAGCGTTATTCTTTAAATAGACATGAGAATTCTCAATTTCCCCTAAAAGATTTTTTTGTTTTGTAGAATAAGACCATGTCCGATGCTTAAAGGTCGAATCCAAATTTTAGGACCTTGTCTGACCGTCGCAAATACTTGTATGACCGTCAAATATACTTTCTAAACTAAATCGGTTTTTTGGTGCGATACTTTTCTTACGACCAAAACATTGTGTCGAAAAATGTTTTTCCAACAATAAAATGTTATTTATAAGAGCGCATATTGTTTTTCCAACAATAATATTATATTTGCGATGATCCAACTTCATCAACAAAATTAAAAGGATACAAATACAATATTTTTGTTTTTAGAGTTAATAATATTTTCAATGTCAATTTTTATTGAAAGAATTGTTTTATACTAATCAAATCATATATTCAACTACATATACAAAAAAAAATAAAAAATCAATGTAAAAAATTTAAAAGTATTTGTTACAATCCTATGATATGTCTATCTTATAACGCTAGTTTTATATCAAGCAGAATATAATCATCAATTGGTAAGAAACCCAAACAATGAAACTCAGAAAATAAACATAAGTTGTAATGAAGAGCCTTGCATAATTTTAGCTTAAGGTGTGAGCATAGTAACCACCAATCTATACCATAAATAATGCAGTAGTCGAAGTGAAAATTAAACACACCTCCAATACATTCTTCAATTTTTCTTGTACCACCCTAAGATTAGAGGATGCTCATAAATCCAAAGAATCTAAAAAAATGTAAGGAAAGTAAAACTATATGCACAATTTAACAATTCTAATGTTTCAGAGTTTGCTGAAATCCAAAACCAGCTACAAAGCTAGCACAATACATACTTTAAGTATTCTAATACTATAGCCCACACACTACATTACATATTCTAGGGTAAATTACATAAAACTACCTCAACTATTGGGCCAACCATAGTTTCATACCTCATCTTTAAAACATTTCAATGTCATACCTAATCTTACAAATTTGTTGCAATGTCATACCTTCGTTAGTTTGTCTATCAATTATTCCGTTAAATGCTGAAATGGCTTGAGGTGGGGTTCACTCCCTTGACCAACTGGATTAAAAAATTAATTAAATATTAAAAAAAAATTATTTGTTTAAAAAGGTGGGATCCATCCTGTATCATCCCACATCGCCCAGGAAAATGGATCCTATAAACCTTATATATATATATATTCCTATCTCTACCTAGCACGAGGCCTTTTGGGAGCTCAATGACTTTGGGTTTTGTAAGAACTCCGAAGTTAAGCGAGTTCGCGCGAGAGTAATGGATGACCCATTGGGAAGTTCCTGTGTGAGTTCCTAGAAACAAAACCGGGAGGGCATGGTCGGGGCCCAAAGCGGACAATATCATGCTACGGTGGAGTCAAGGCCGGGATGTGGTGGGGGCTCGGGCCAGGATGTGACAATTTGGTATCAGAGCTAACCTTGGCTGTGGTGTGCCGACGAGGACGTTAGACCCCTAAGGGGGGTGGATTGTAAGATCCCACATCGCCCAGGGGAGTGATCCTTATATGTATATTCCCATCCCTACCTAGCACAAGGCCTTTTGGGAGCTCACTGGCTTCGGGTTCCATGGGAACTCCGAAGTTAAGCGAGTAGCGCGCGAGAGTAATCCCAGGATGGGTGACCCATTGGGAAGTTCCCGTGTGAGTTCCTAGAAACAAAACCGTGAAGGCGTGTTCGGGGCCCAAAGCGGACAATATCATGCCAATTGGGTATCAATTGGGTATGGTGGGGACCTGGGTCGGGATGTGACAATTGGGTATCAGAGCCAATCTCTGGCCAGATGTGCGCCAACGAGGACGTCGGGCCCGTAAGAGTGGTGGATTGTAACATCCCACATCGCCCAGGGAAATGGATCCTGTAAACCTTATATGTATATTCCCATCTCTACCTAGCACGAGGCCTTTTAGGAGCTCACTGGCTTTGGGTTTCGTAGGAATTCCGAAGTTAAGCGAGTTTGCATGAGAGTAATCCCAGGATGGGTGACCCATTGGGAAGTTCCCGTGTGAGTTCCTAGAAACAAAACCGTGAGGGTGTGGTCGGGGCCTAAAGCAGACAATATTGTGTTACGGTGGAGTCGAGCCCGGGACGTGATGGGGGCTTGGGCCAAGATGTGACACATCCCCTACAAACCCATCACCCCATCTTTTATCCCCATCAAAAATTTTCCATGTTCCCCGTCTTACCCCAACCCTGTACCAAAACCACCCCAAACCCAGATCCCACCCTCCCCAATATCCCCCCCAACCCTCCCCGGCCACTCATCCCATTCCCTCACTCATCTCTTTTCTCCCCAGAAACAAACAAATTTTGAAACAAAAAAAACCCATAATTTTTTGATTTCTTGACAAACCTAGCCAAATTTCTTAGCATACTTGCCATCGAAGCCTGCGAGCTGGGCATGCCGCCCTGGCAAATGTCCTAGAGCGATGAAGCCCCACCTCTAGACCCAATTGCCTTCGCATTCTCCTTCGAAAAGCTCAGAGGAGAGAGATGAGATAGAGAGAGTGGGAAATGTTTGAGTAAATGATGACGAGTAGGGAAGGTGGTTACTAAGGAGAAGACAAAGGGGATCGGGTCAAGTTCAAGCCCGTGAGAGGTGGAGATCTGGTGGAATGGAGGGACGGAGATGAACGGAGGGAGCGGGAGGAGAGGAAATGAGGGAAGGGGAGTCGAAGAGGTGGAGGAGGTGAGGTTAGGGGTGACTGGAGATGGGTGAGTTCGATGTCTGGGTGAACTGGGAATAAGGGGTGGGGTGATGGGTTTGTAGGGGATGGGTCCCACCCTTTTTTAATAAAAATATTTAAATGATTTTATTTTTGTTTTTTTTAATATTTAAATAATTTTTTAATCCAGTTGGCCTAGGGAGTGGTCCTCGCTTCAAGCCACGTCAGCATTTAACAAAGAATTGACAGACAAATTGACGGAGATATGACATTACAACAAATTCATAAGATAAAGTATGACATTGAAATGTTTTAAACAAACGTTAACTTGTTTTTTTTTTTTTTTGTTTTTTTTTGTTGAGGTTGAAAACAATCCAAATGCATTCCAAATAGAAAAATTGTGTACTTTTGACAACCAATAAGCTTTTGATCCTTTGATTACTAATTCTTATGGTCCTAGTAGTGTATTATCTGAGTTTATTTGCCTAAATTCCAAAGGGTGTGAAACGCTCCCACATACGATTCCATGATTGCCAAAAGTAGTCCAAATGCACTCCAACTAGAAAAATAGTTTACTTTTGATACTCAATAAGCTTTTGTACTTTTGAGTATTCATTCTTATGGTCCTAGTAGCACATCATATTTGTTTGACTGCTTAAGTTCTAATGGTTGTCAAACGCATGCTCCAATGTTTTTCTTTATACTGAAAACTGTCCAAATGCACTCCAAATAGAAAAACTGTGTACTTTGACATGCAATATACTTTTGATCTTTTGAGTACTCATTCTTATGGTCTTAGTGGTGCATTATATGTGTTTATTTGCTTAAGTTCCAATATGTGTTAAACGAACATTTGTTTGTTTTTTTTTATTAATGCCAAAAACAGTCCAAATGCAATGCAAATAAAAAAAAAACTGTGTACTTTTGGCACCCAATAAGCTTGTGATCTTTTACGTACTAATTCTTATGGTCTTAGCAATGTATTATATAGGTTTATTTGCCTAAGTTCCAAAGGTGTGAAACGCTTGCTCATATCATACCGTGAATGCCAAAAACTGTCCAAATGTACTCCATATAGAAAAAATGTGTACTTTTGACACCTAATTAGGTTTTGAGCTTTTGAGTACTCATTCTTATGGTCCTGGTAGCGCATTATATGCCTTAATTGCTTATATTCTAAGGGTTGTCAATCTCATGCTCCTATGTTTTTATTTATGCCGAATACAATCCAAATGCGTTATTAAGGTGAGGGTTAGTTTTTAGGGGCCGGATTAGGTTAGAATTCTTGGGGATTATTTTAATTTTGTAAGTAATAGTTATATGATTTTATTTTGTAATTGCAATTGTAGTTTTATATTTGTTTAGTTGTAGAATTTAATTTTTAAATTAATAATTTCAGTTTTAATTACGTTTGTAAAAAGTGTGTCATTAGTCATTTTGGGATAAATTTGTAAAATTTAGTTACACTTTTTTAGATGAAAGGCCAAGTGTAGTTGAAATTAGTTATTTTAAGAGAATTTGTTAATTTCAGTCTTAGGATAATTTTTTGGATATTGTGATTTATTTTGTAGTTTAAGTATTAATTTTATTCAATTTTAAATTGTGTAGATGTCTCGGCTTATATTAGTGGCAGGGCTATGAGCAGTGGATCCCCCGTTGATAGGAGCATATTTACGTGACTTAGCTAGCTTATTCTTGTGCATTTGTGCTATTATTTCCTAGTTAATGTCGTATTACAACTCTTTTTCGTGTGTTTGTAGGTCCAAAGGGTTAAAGTACCAAGAAAGTGCATTTTGGTGCATTTTGGAGCAATTTTGGACACTCTGTGGATAGCTTGCATATGGGCCAACATGGATGGATGAATTTGGAGTTCAAGAGGCTAGAAATATGATGAGAAGAGGAAGGAACTAAGCTCAAGACAATGTGGATAAGGAAGTAGCTCAAAAGAGGAAACCCTATCCAAAACCTTATACAACAAGCCATACGCACCTACACAAGCACCTCCACAATCTGCCCAAACAAGTTCAGGTAACACTTTAGACAATGATACACTTCTTAAGTTATTAACGAATTTGTCTCAGGGGCAAGAAAATCAAGCCAAAGCCATGCAAAACCAAGATAAGAGGGTGGAGCAATTGGAGAAACAAATTGGGCAGATTGCAGATTTTGTAGGGAAGTTTCGTGAGCAAGGCCAACTTCCTAGTTCTACCATTCCAAACCCCAAGGGAGGCTTCGAAAGTGCAAAGGCCATACTCT